AAATAGACTAAGTGACTGCTAAGACAAACAGATTGTAGCAACAGCAATGCTGTATCATTTATAAAAACCTGGTCTTTAGAGACTGGAGCTTTCAAGCCCTGCTTCTTTACATATCCACATTTTTACCTGAGCCACCATATTTTGTGGTAGCCCAAGCAGTCCTTGGAGAATCTATGTGATGAGAATCCTAATCAATAACCCCAGTTAACATGGTATGACCAGCCACACAAGTGAGAAATTTTGGCAAGGGATCCATCAACCCTAGTGTGTTTTTCAAATTGATCTCACAAAGAGCTCAGGCAAACTATTCGCAAGGACTCCTGACAAAATTATAGATGTGTGTGCAAAATAAATAACTATTGTAACTTTAGTAACTAATGTTCTGAGTGGTTTGTTATGGCAAAAATATATAATTAGAGCAGAATATATTATCTAAAGGCAAGGAACTGCACTTAAAATCCATGACACCGATTTTATTTTTTTAATATATTTTATTTTTTAATATATTTTTATTGAACTAGCATTATTTTATATCCATGTTCATTTTTTTCCACAATAAAGGATTTTTCCCTTCAGGTGGGGTCACCATAGTTCTTCACCACCAAATCACCCATAATTCTCCCTCAGAGTCTGTTGTAATCATCTCCTTCCTTTTTCTGGCTCCTCTTCCCTCCAACCCCCCACCCTGATGCTTCAGATCTATAGTCAACTTTCAAGCATTGGTTTTAAAGTTTGTCTTTGTCTGAGCTTTGTTTGGTTTTGTTATATTTTACATGTAAGTGAGATCAGCCAGTATTTATCTTTCTCTTTCTGGCTGATCTCACTTAGGATAATCCTTTCCAGTTCCATCCATGTTGCCACAGATGGAATGAGTTTATCTTTTTTTGGATCCCTGAGTAGTATTCCACTGGGTATAACCACATCTTTTTGATACACTCATTTGCCCTGACACTAATTTTAGAAATGACACTAACTTTAGAAAAATTAGTGTCTGGACACTAATTTTAGAAATGGTGGTAAGAGAATGTGTAAAAACTTCAGATGTCTGTTATATAGTGCTGGTAAGTATTTGAAAGATAAAGAAAAATGTTATAATTTGAGATAAAAATGGGAAAATTATGTTGTGTTGAGAATTTTGACATTTTCTAAAAAACAGAACACATATAATAAACTCATGAAACTTTCTGGGGACATTACTGGGAAAATTATAGAAAGTGCCAATAGAATCTATAAGACTTAATGACTGATTTCATGTGTATGGTACAGAAGTGGGGATGGTGGGATGGGGTGGTGGGAAGTGTGGGGTGTGAGTGATAAAGATAACTTCCATGTGCATGACTTGGTTTCCTTGGTAGATGGAGTTAACATTCACAAAAATATGGCATGAAAACAGCCAGGCATGTTTGGGAGCAGGACATGGTGAATTTAGTTCATACTGTCTCAAAAATTCTAATAGTTATTACAACTGTCTTCTCAGACAAGTGGCCTGGATAACCAGAGTTGGCCTGGGAGGGATGGCAAGCTTGTTTAAAATAGAGGACATAGAATCAGATCTGTTCATGGTTTGCATCACAGTTCTTTTCCTTGTTTGTATAACTTGGACAAAAAAATTCTTCTGTTTCTAATTACTTACAGTTTCTACTTCTAGTTTCTAATGATTGAAAAATGGGACTGGTAAGCTATTACCAAAAATTGTTGTGAAGTTTAAAAAAGACATTTTAAATGAGTGATATCTTCCAGTATTTGTCTTTCTCCTGACTTTTTCACTTAGCATAATCCCCTCCAGCTCCATCCATGTTGTTGCAAGTGGCAAGAGTTCGCCTATTTATAGCTGAGTACTATTCCATCATATATATAGACCACATCTTCATAATATACTCATCTGTCATTGGGCAGTTAGGTTGTTTCCATACCTTGGCTATTATAAATAATGCTACAGTGGGGAGTGCATACGTCTCTCTGAATATAAATAAAACAAAGGAACTGGAAAAAACAAAAACAAAACAAGACCTAGAAATAAAACTACAAAATAGAAGCTACTACAGTGGGAGAAAAATTGGGTATGGGAAAAAAATCAGAGAAGGGGCCCAATGGTCTAGGCTAAAGGACTATGGGCGCTTTTGGTGGTAGATGTCAGATGGTATTATTTATCTGAGGAGGTGTGACCCTATTCCTCTAAATCATATACAGTGTTGTAAACCAATGTTACCTCACCAAAATAAATAGGTAAAGAAAAAAAAATAAAGATTTATTTATTTATGCATACAAGAACTGGAGTGCAGGCCAGAGGTATGGGGATGAGAGGATTCACCAGAGACAGAGTGGGGAACAACACAGGCAGAATGACTGAAATACACTGCTGAAGGGAGCAGCGGACAAGACAGGAGAGGTCTGCTGTGCCACATGGGTTAACTCCCTGGCCAGGGATCAAACTGCAGTGGCTGCAGATAGCTTCATAGCAATGAGGCTTAACCCCTTGCTCTACCAGGGAGGCCCAAGAAAAATATTTTTAAAACATATCATTATACTGTAATATGTAGGACAACATAAACATATGTTATTATTATAGATATGGATAGTGAGGTTCAAGCAGTGTACAAGATTTGCCCAAATGATTAAACAAATGTCAGGAAAGGACAAGAAATTAGATTTTCAGACTTTCAGTTCCATATTGTCTGAAACAGAGATTCGTGGGAGTCTCTTCCTTTATGGCAATCCAATTTATGGTGTATTCTTTAAGTTATCTTACTAAGATTGGACTTGTGTAGGGGCTTTCATAATACCTCACATCCTCCCTTTGCTAGCAAAAGCATTACTTGATTAAATAATTGAAAAGATTTAGTGGAGACTATAACTGTTGAACAGATGGAAAGTAAATTAATCCCAGGGGGTTACAACAAGAATTGGGGTTCTTGCTGGGTTTGTCTTTCCACCCTTCTCCTGGAGGAAAAGATCCTTTAACTCTCAGAACAGTTTCGGTAAAAAGGAGAGAAAATCAAAGCCCATTCTATAGATGAGAGTCTTAAGGACAACCCTCTAGTCATAAAGATGAAGTCTCCATGTCAGCCATTAATCCCTAGGATTGGCACTAGAATCACCTTACAAAATGTTATCTAGAACACCTCTTGCAATACTGCCTTTTTACCACATGTAAAGCAAGGCATTTCTAGTCAGATTGAGAACAAGGAAGATATCATACAAGGTGGAAGAGAACCAGCCTAAGAGTGTTAAGAGGCCTGAGTTAATTCCAACCATCGTGCTTAATGATGTTTTGAAGTTCTTGCAGCAATTTGAAGAAGAAGGATGAGAAATGGAAATAAAGAAGGGGCATAATTGAAAACTATATAAGCTGTAGAGTCTATAGGACTTAGGGGTTGATTCAATACATGGTGGAAGAAAGAAAAAAGAGTGTGGTGTTCCCTTTCAGGTCTTCAGTGAGCTGACATTCACCACGTTGGGGCAAAAAAGGTGGCTGAGCAAGCCTGGAGGCAGAATAGACAAGGTTATTCTTACACAAACATCCCTTCCACTCCAAGCATTATACAAGGAACAGGGTCATTAAGGTTGTGTTTAATATAAAATCCACACCATCAGAAAATTCAACTTCATTGTACAGACCAAAAAAAAATATTCTACTGACCTTTGCTTGACCTTTCTTGCATCAGGGCATTTAAACTTGTTGCCCCTGTATTAAAAGGATCTCCACAAATAATCTTTACTTAGTGACACCATTCATCCATTCATAATTAAACATAGGTCTGGATTCTATGAGAGCACCAAGAAAGCCTAAGTTAATGTTACAAAAAGTCCCTGAATGGCTTTAGAGAGAGACTGAGTGCCTTTAGAAAGAAAGTGAGAGGGTGACTAAGGTTGTCTTGAAATATAAGTGAGATTGCAAATTAAATAAAGGAGAGATGATGTTTCAAAAAGAAGATGCAACCCAAGAGAAAACAGGATACAGAACAATGTCACTTTTGTATCAACAAATAATAGTTCAAAGTGCACAACTGCACACATATGAGAAATTGATAGTAATAGTAGTAACTCTAGCAACAATCATTGAGGAAAGGTAGGCAGAGACTAGATGATAAGTTCTTGCTAATGAGAGAGACTTGACTTCCCCGTGTGTGGCAGGGGAGTCATTTGAAGGGTTTTTCATAGATGGATTTTCTGATTATTAATCTCACCATATTGATTTATTATTTATTATTTAATACTATATATTATATAATATATACAATATACGCTAACCATATTGACATTATTTCTATCATTTTGTTCAGATTACTTGAGATACTTCAGCTAGTCTAAAATGTTATTAGCTACTTTGAGGAGAATAAATAGGTACGATATTCAAATAATGAGTAGAGGAGCTAAGACAGCATGGGAAGGACATGCATACATCTAGATAAGCTAGACAGAGACATGAATATGGAAGTGGATATAGGCATATATATGAAAGAAAATCTATAATAATTTTCCAGTCTCAAACAATGGACAAAAGAATCCCACAGGCCAAGGCATCTCAATATAAATAGGTTGAGGGATGCTAATCAAGGACCAAAAAGAATCTCTAATATTTTCTACAGAACAGAGGATACCTAAACTTTGGTTTTCTTCAGGAAAAGGGAGAACTCAGAGCAGGAAAAATAGGAAGAGTCAGATTTTCTTCTGCTATTCCTTGCAACTAGACAGCTAGGGTATATTTTTGCTTTCGCCAGTTGACTTATTTGCTTTTGAATACTCAATTTTTAGAACAGTGAAACATAGTGAATTTTGCCCTAGAAATAATAATTCCTTTCCCAACCTGAGTAGCCTTCTTAACATATCACTAAGTGTAGAAAGCCAGAATATCTCAACTTCTTTGAGCCTCATTCTCATATGTAAAATGTCCTTATGTTACAGCATGTTAGATTCTTAAATGAGATAAAGTGTGAAAGCACATATGTTACCTGACACATAAAAGCATATAATTAATTGAATAGTTTAAAATTGGCTCCTTAATGAGCAGGATATGAAATCTGGCCCATTACTCTTCTAAAGGCTGATTTGAATTCCTTATTTCTCAGACTGTAAATCATTGGATTGAACAATGGAGTGAGGATGGTATAAGACACAGATATTAGGCTGTCCAGACTTGAAGAATAATTAGATTTTGGCCTTAAGTAGATGAAAGAGGCACAACCATAATAAACAGTCACCACAATGAGATGGGAGCCACAGGTAGAGAAGGCCTTGTACCTTCCAACAGTGGATGAGATTTTCATGATGGCAGAAATGATGCGGATGTAGGAGATGAGAATAAGTAGCAGTGGAATTACCAAGACAAACACACCCAGCATAAATATGACCAACTGACTAAAGTTGGGATGGTGGGATGCCAGCTTGAGGACAGGAGAGATGTCACAGAAGAAGTGATGGAGTCGGTTGGAGGAGTGGAAGGGCAGATGACATACCAGGGAGGTGATGATCTGTGCAACAGTAAAGCCACAGGCACAGGCAACAGCCACCAGGCCCCCACACACCCCAGGCCCCATGATCACAGTGTAGCGCAGAGGGTTACAGATGGCTAGGTAGCGGTCATAGCCCATAGCTGCCAGCAGGAAAGAGTGAGAGCAGCCAAGGAAGAGAAAAGTAAACATCTGGATAGTGCAGCCCAGGAAGGAGATGGTCTCCTTCTGAGCCAGCAGATCCACCAGCATCTTGGGTACAATGACGAAGGTGTAGCATGTCTCAAAGCAAGAGAGAACAGCGAGGAAGAAGTACATGGGGGTGTGAAGGGCTCTGTCCAGCACGATGGTGGAAATGATAATGGCATTGGTGCCCAGAGTGAACAGGTAGACGAGCAGGAAAACAACGAAGAGTAGTTGCTGCAGCCCAGCCAGAGAGGAGAAGCAGAGGAAGATGAACTCCCTCACTGAGGTCTCATTGACCTGCTCCATGGACACTGCTATGGAGGTGAGCCAGGGACAGAGACAAAGACCAGGATCCAGGGAGGAGAGTAGAAATTTATGGGAAACTCAGAAAGTCTGCAGTGGCAGGCATTTCCAGAGGTGTGATGGAATCGCTTCTTCATTCCTTCTCAAAAGTGCCTGCTAAAATAAGAATTAAGGCTAACTAGGCAATAGAATAACTGATAACCAGTTAGAACATTTTTCCTAAGACTAGAACATTTATCTTTCTAGCCAAGGATTAAGGAAACGTTCAATAGTTTTCCCTTGCATCTTACTTAGGGATTACTGCTTTTCCTGCTCATTACAAGCCCAAGGAAACTAGGCTTCCAAAAGTGAAAAATATGGTTAACTCCAGCTAACTGAACCTCATCAGAACCTAAAATGAAAGAATGCGCTCAACACTGCAGGTTAAACTCAGTTAATTTTCTATCAGAAAATGGAAAGGAAAGGGAAGATTTGGATGATCTCTGAGCAAAAGCAGGAAAGGTTATGTGTCTACTTACTACTTATTAAATGCCAAGATATTTGATAATAATACTTTATGTCTTATTGTTGTGATTACTCATTACAGTTTTAACTAGATGCACAAATGAGCAAGGAGGAAAAAATAAAATATAAGAAATAAGAAAGTAAAAAAAGTCAGTGTTAACTTGTGAAGACTAAGAAGAGGATCATCACAGACACTGGGAGAGTCCCGCTGCTCAGTTAGTACATACATTGCTCTTCTCCTTTAAATTCAGACAGAAGCAATTATTTGGCATCTGGGATCCCTTAGAAAGTAGATTCTAAGTCAAATTCAGAACCAGAGGACACAACAGCAGGAGAGTGTGGTTTTGTTTGGGCCAGAAGCTTTCAGTCACATCAATAGAGGGAGCCTTCCTTATCCATTCGAACTCTCAGCTTCTCCAGCCAAAGTCACTATCTTTAGAAGTCCTGGTGACCAGCACAAGATGTGATTATTAGAAGCACATATCATTGGATTCCTGAGGCTAGATCTACTCCCCTGAAGACATTGTCTTGGGGTTAATTAGAAGTCAAGTTTATTTTTTAAAAATATTGTTACCTGGTTCTCGAAGGTAGCCTTTGGTGAAGAAACTTGGTTATTGGAATTATAATTCACCGATGTCTGCAGTGGACGTTGAGTCCATCTGCATTGAATTCTAAAAGAGAAATCACCACAATTAAGACTGTAATGCACATTCAAAAAAGATAAACACATGCAATTTGCAGCAACATGGATGGAGCTGGAAGGGATCATGCTCAGCGAAATAAACCAGAAAGAAAAAGAAAAACATCGGATGGTCTCACTCATAGCAGGAATCTAGAAAACCTAAATAAGGGACCAGGAAAAAGAATAACTATAAGAAAGAAAAAATCAAAATCAACAAACAACTATGAACCAGAGACACACTATGGGGGGTGGGGGCGGGGAAAGGAGGGATTGGGGTCAAAATAAGGGGGTTGCAATTGCATGGGGAATATAAAAATAAAATTTAAAAAAAAAGACTGTAATGCACAGACCAGGTGAAAATTTTTCACTAAATTTTAAGTCAGGAAACTGGTGTCTTTGTCCAGTGATTCTCAGTTTCAGATATTATAAGAGTCAAAAGAGGTCTTAATTATGGATTCATCTTCCCAGTTTTTGTCCATACAGTTCTAACTAGGAACACTGAGATGTCCTGCAAGCATCCAAATTTTAAACAAGTATATTAAACCTTGTTGAGCTATATCATTGTTTATTATCTTATACAATTTTCACTAGAAAGACAAAATATAAGGTCACTTTTTATAAAAGTAAATCCATAAATAAAATTCTAATCCAAATCTCTACATAATTCCTTAAGATAAACTGACCATCGAATGTACATGAAAGAATAAGACAATTTTGATACAGAGCAAAAAACACAGGGGCTCACTCTTCCCACTAGTAAGATGCATTAGTAATAAAAAGGAGCATGCTATGGGGAACAGGAAGAGGTCCATAGCATAAAGAAATAGAAAAGAGTGCTCAGAAATTGATCTCGGTGTATTTGACAATTTGGTCTTTGACAGAAGTGATCTCACAAATCAATGAGAAAACTATAATTATTTATCAAATAATACTGGAAAATCTGATTCTTTCTATTAATCCATCACTTAGAAGGAAGTGGCCTGGTAGAACAATGAAAGTGGGTTGCTGAAGGCTGTTATAGCACAACTGTGTAATAGCACCTGACAAGTCCCATTTATCAACTCAAAGCAGTACATATTTCTGAACCAACAAATCATGTATTGTGTCCATTCTTCAACAACAATACATAAATCTAGGAATCAATTTGAGAGGTGATGGAAATAATTGCTTCCATACTGGCCATGTGGAGCTCTTTGTAATCCCATATGAATTTCAAGGTGGAGGGTCCTATTTCTGTAAAGAATGCCTATGGGATTTTGATAAGGGCTATATTAAATCTGTATATCACTTTGGATACTATGGACATTTTTAGCAATAATAATCTTCCAGTCTGTGAACACTGAATATCTTTCCACTTACATTTTTCTTCCTTAATTTCTTTTATCAATATTTTATAATTTTCAGTGTACAAGTCTTTCACCTTTTTGGTTGATTTTATTCCTTTTTTATTCACTTTGTTGTTAACTTGCTTTTTCTATATAGGAACATGATTTTTGTAAGTTGATTTTGTATCTTGCAGCTTTACTGGGTTTATTAGCTTTAACTGGTTGAATTAGTTAATTGTTGAATAGTTTTTCTAGTTGAATTTTTAGGCTTTTCCATATACATGCTTATGTCATCTGCAAATAGAAATCAATTTTACTTCTTCCTTTCCTATTTGGATGTTCTGGCTAGGACTTCTAGAACTGTAGTAATGAGGATAGTCAATCTTGCCTTGTATGAGATCTTAGAAATCCTTCAGTTTTTCCCTATTGATTATGATCTAGCAGTGGGTTTTTCACATATAGTTTTTATTGTGCTAATGAAACTTCTTTCTATACCCAAGTCATTCAGAGTTTTAATCATGAATGAATGATGAACTTTGTCAAATGTGTTTTCTGCATCTATTGTGTTGATTACGTTTTTTCTTTCATTTTGTTACTATGACGATCAGTGATTGATTTGTATATGTTAAACCATCCTTGTTTGTCAAGTTTCAGTCTCACTTGATAGCAATATGTAAGAATTGTAATGTGCTGTTGTATTTGGCTTCCTAGAATTTTGTTGAGGATTTTTGCAACTATATTCATCAGAGATATTGGCCTGTAGCTGTTATGTGATAACTTTGCCTGACTTTGGTGTCAGGGTTCTGTTAGCCTCATGCTATGAACTTGAAAATCTTCCCTCATCTCCCATTTTTTTTGGGAAAAATTTAAGGGGGATTGATATTAATTCTTCCTTGCATTTTTGGCAAAATTCAACCATGAAATCATCTGATCCTGCATCTTTATTAGGAGATTTCTGATTACTAATCAATGTTCTTATTTGTTATTGGTCTATTCAAGCTTCATATTTTTATTTCATTCAGTTTTGGTATCTTCGCTATTTCTAGGAATTTATCCATTTCTGATATATTATCCAATTTGTACAATTGCTCTTATTAGTTCCTTAATACCCATTTTATTTCTGAGTCATGCATTGTCTCTTTTTTTATTTTTTATTTTATTAAGCCTTCTCTCTTTTTTCTCTAACAAAGTATGGCTTTGTCAATTTTTTTTTTTTCAAAATAATTATCTTAAACTTGCTGGGTATTTTCTTCATAGAACATCATTTATGAATTATTTTTAATTGTATTATTTTACTTAAACAACAGAAATTCATTGTATCAATTTTGGAGGCAAGAAGTTCAAAATTAAGGAGTCAGTAGTCTTGCTCCTTCTGAGAGCTGTGCAGGACTCACTCTGGCTTATACCTGCCCATCTTCTCTATGTGTCTTCACAGTGTCTCATCTATGTCTGTCTTCAAATTTCCTTTTTCTTAATTTAATCATTTTTATTTAACCAATGTTGGTTCACAACACTCCTTGTATATCCCCCTTCATTCAAAGGCATGTGCCTCCAAGTCATTGTCCCTCTCCCCTCCCCAGAGCCTCTAACTAAGTCAGCAGCCCTGCCATTTGGGTCCCCCAACCCAGATGCAGTTCAGATGCTTCTCTCTACCCACCTCCGGTCCAATGATATCTCCATCTTACAGAGCATACTCCTACTATTATCATAATGCAGTCTATTTCTCTTTCAGATCTGTTAATATTTTGCTTTATTTTGGGTGCACTAACCCTTTAATCATTATATAATGACCTTCTTTGTCTCTTGTGACAGTTTTTGATCTAACATTTATTTTTTTTCTAATATAAAGATATCCACCCTTTCCTATTGTTTAGTTAACTTTTGCATGAAATTTCTTTTTCTATCCCTTTGCTTTCAGCCTATGTGGCCCTTAAAGCTAAAGTGAATCTCTTGTATTGTTGGATCTTATGTGTTTATTTAACCTGCCATTCCCTGGATCCTATTTTTTCTTAAAAATTAGAGTTGCTATTAAACTGCTCAGGCAAAAAAGAGTATGTCTAAAATCCAGAAGATATTGCAAGTCATCTCTCATTACTGCATATACAAAGGCAAATTTTTTCCATCAAAAATTTTTTTGATTTGCCATTCATTTACAAAAAAATGTATGTTTGGGATTACAACTTTACACCTCACCCTGGGCACATGCTTCATTTGTCTTCCATCAAAGCTCCAGTGTACAAAGGCAATTTTTAACAGAATATTAGAACAACCTAATTTAGGCAAAGTTACTAATGGTTCAGAGCCTTCAAAAATGTTGAGGTACTGGCTGACTTCAAAATAATATTGAATAGGCGGAAGAAAAACAATGTATAAATATTTATGACATCCTTGTGATTAGTTACAGAAATGAGGATTTCAGTGACTGTAATTCATTTCTTGCTTGCTATATATGCATATATTTGCATGTGTGAACATTGTTGGCATACAATGCATATTGATTAAATTACATGATGGATGCATACATGAATACCTGCATTGATTAATGCAGTCAAAGAAATGAATATAGTGAATAGAGAAGGTTAGAGTTTGTGCCCCCCTTGAATGCAGACAAAATTAAAGTGCATAAAGCAGGAGAGATGCAGAAAAAGTATCAGCCTTATTTAACTAGCAAACTTGAAGGAGAAGGAGGCAACTCTATGAATTTGTCATGGTGGAATTTATTTTATCCCTCAAAACAGCTAATCTACATCTGGAATCTATATGGTTAATCACTAGGGAAATTACAGTTTATCACTTTATTCAGCAGATAAAACCTTAAACGAAAATGAATGACCTGTGAAAAAAATCATGGCATTTTTCCAGCATCTACACAGATCAAGTAAAATAGATAACTTATTTGATTCCCTTTTTTACATTTGAATGCCTAGGATCTAAAGAAGTATATCTCTCTAAGGCCTCAATCCCCTGGAGCCCCTAAAGCTATAAAACCCAATGATTTTATTAGAGCATCTGCACCAAGAACACAGAAACGTTAACATCGACACTCTTCAGTGCTGCTAGCTTCCAGTTCAGCTAGCAGAGTTTTCTTTCATTAGAATTTCCCCAATATTTCTGGAAGAAAAATACTATCTGATGTTCTTCCAATTTTGCCTGTTTCTCCCAACTCTTGACACTGTGATGGGCTATAGGAGAAAGTAACCTGGGATTGTGCTAGAACTCTGTCTCTAAATGTAAGTGTTTGCCTTGTGTTATATTTGTAGGAACACTGTGTCGATTCACTCTGCAAATGATCTGAGTACCAAAGAAAGTTTCTGAGGCAAAAGAAGTGGACAAACAGCACAGGTGACGTAGTTCATAGCATCAGAATCCAGGGAAACACAGGGGCAGAGCCACATGGAGCAGGCAGAGAGAGCCTGCTTGACAAAGTCCTGCTACCTGAATATGGACAAAGAGTCAACGAAGGGAAGGATTCAGAGAGTATGATAGCAAAATACTCCCAAAAGAGACCTAAACAAGGAAATAGAAACTGACCCAGTATGTGAATGGATGTGTACTTAAGCAGAAGGGAAAATGCAGGTGATGCATTGAAGATGGAAAAGAAGAAAGAGGAGCAGATAGAAGAATGGGTCAGAGTGCCCACATATTAATCTATCTTCTAAGATATTTATTTACAAGCACCCAATACAAAGGAAATATTAAAAATGAAACCCAATTAAATCAGAAAAAGGGAAGCCTAGGTGGAGGAATCCATGATATTGGGGATCCATTTTCACCTCAGCTGTTAAACAGCTACGCAAATAGATGTGTATATTTTATTTTTCTGGGCCTCAGTATCTTCATTTGTAACAGTTGGGGGATGAACTACATACCAGTAACTAACACTGAATATTTACTGAGACATTTACTTAGTTGTGGACTTTTCATACTCGGAAACAATAGTATTGTTGCCATATCAGGTGAGAACCTGAGACACAAGGAAGGGGTTTCCACAGTCTCAAAGCTCATCACTTAGCTCTAGAGTCCACATCTCCTCAGCCTCACTGAGGTTTCTCTCCAACACGATCCCAGAACAGACAATGAATCACATTGACCAGTCTCAGAGTTACTCAGAGAAACCCTTCAGGAGATAAATAATAATCTGGGGTTTCGTCAGAGGCTTGAATCATACTTCTGACAGGTAAGTGACAACAGGAAAGGCAATTTAATGTGTAGAGAAGAGACAGAATCGGAAATGTGTGACCAGCCAGCTTGTGTTACAATTCAGGGTTGGGTATATGGTGTAAAACATCTGAGATGAAGATTAGGACAAAGAATTCCAGAAATAACACCATGAGAAACAATTAAGAGACCAAGAGTGTTCATTGGAAGGAAAATAAGACCCAGAAAATGAAATTATCATTGTATTTCAATACTAAGTGATGTTAATTTAAAAAATAAAATAAAAATTCTTGAAAGTATATGCAGATGAATCAAAAATAATGGGTGATATTTCAAGGAGGTATAAATTATCTCAAAATAAGGAATTAAGTCCTCTAGCAAGAGAGCAAGCCTTCTGAGGCCGTGGACTCCTCAGAACTTGACCGTGACTACAGTGATTAGACAATACTTTCCAGACTTATACCAAAAGATTTGCAAAATTGGGTCAAGTTCATAGGAAGATCCTTGAGCTTTTTTCTAATACAAAAATTGTCTAAGCCTAAATGAAGGTTTAAGTATCATTTGATCTCTGAATCAACTGCAGAACTTCCTGAAGACAATGGTGAGACTTATTCTGAGAATATTATGGAGGCAATAAAGATAGAGACAGAGGCCAAAGGAGTAGAGAGTCCTCAGCCCAAGAGTTATCATGCTCTGAGGGTAATTTTAACTTCATTAGCTTCTTAAACTCAAATTCCCACGCACTCATGACAAGGGAACTACCAATAGGCAGGATCATTCTAAGTACATCCCAATTACAATTGCTAATGGGTAAATAATTCTCAACACTTATGAGTTCAAAACAAGCATCATTTGAGTCAAGTTTATGAGGTTCTGGAAAGACCACTTATCATTGGTTTTAGGATTTTTCTGAATCAGATGTTCATAAGATTACTTTGACAATATAAAGATTGTTGTGCTCATGTGTGTTAAGCAAATGGATTGATCTTTTTTAACCTCACTTCTTTTTTCCATAAGTGGCAGGGTTAGATGAATGAATCCTAAATCACTTCTTGGTTTAATCACTTCTTGGTTTAACATACTAAGTCTGAGTTTTCTATGCAACTAAGAATACAAAAGATATCAACAAATTACAAAAACAAATATTAATTTCTTCAGATATCTTAGAATTGGCATATCACTTATGTTACTGTTCCCTGTGTCATCTGCTCCCCTCATCTTCAGATCAGTGTACTTCACTTGTTTGTTATTTTTTTTCATACCAATATATCAACTTTGTATAGAAACACATGTCATATTTGTCAATTTTTTTTGTTCTCGATTTCAGGAAGTCTGGCTCTGATTCCCATTGAACAATGAAGAAACAGAACCAGAGCATGATCACTGAGTTCATCCTTATAGGCTTCTCAAACCTGGAGGATCTACAGATCCTCCTCTTCTTTATCTTTCTGCTGGTCTACCTGACCACTGTGATGGCCAATGTCACCATCATGACCGTCATTCGTCTTGACCAAGCTCTGCACACCCCCATGTACTTCTTTCTCTTTGTCCTCTCCTGCTCTGAAACCTGCTACACCTTGGTCATTATACCAAAAATGCTGGTCAACCTGCTTTCCACAAATCCAACAATTTCTTTTGCCGGGTGTGCTACCCAGCTCTATTTCTTTGTGGGCTTAGCTTGTACCAACTGTTTTCTAATTGCTGTTATGGGTTACGACCGCTATGTTGCCATCTGCAACCCTCTCAACTACACACTCATCGTCAGCCAAACCACCTGTATAGTACTGGTTCTGGCCTCTAGCTTCTGTGGTTTCCTGATCTCTGTTGTTGTCAATGTCCTGGTGTTCAATGTACCTTTCTGTGCCTCCAATCGGATCAACCACTTTTTCTGTGACATTTCCCCTGTCATAAAACTGGGCTGCACAAACACCAACTTGAAGGAGATGGTCATCTTTTTCCTCAGTATTCTGGTACTGATGGTCCCCTTTGTGTTGATCTTCATCTCCTATGTCTTCATTGTTTCCACCATCCTCAAAATCTCCTCAGCAGAGGGACAGCGTAAGGCCTTCGCCACCTGCGCCTCCCACCTCACTGTGGTCATTGTCCACTATGGCTGTGCCTCCTTCATCTACTTGAGGCCCACATCCCTGTATGCCTCAGATAAGGACCTGCTTGTTGCAGTCACCTATACCGTGATCACCCCATTACTCAACCCCCTGGTCTATACTCTGAGAAATAAAGAAGTCAAGATGGCTCTGAGGAAGGTTCTCAGTAGGTACTCATTTCCCAAAACTGTATGAGTTAATTAAGTTAGGAAAGTTATATTCATGAAAGTGCCCTGGACAGAATTTCAGTTCTACAAGCAGATCTATCCTTTTTCCCCCCTAGGTTTCCTTGCCAAAAATAAAAATAAGAATTTCAAGTAGCCTTGATTCTTTTGTGGAAAGGTCTTTATGTTTAGCCTGTATCTACTGTAGAGGTTATACCTATTGGTCTCTAGAACGTTCTGTAAATATGGAAAGCTTCCAGGAGTCAAGCCATACTATTGTTGTACATTGAAAATGTCAGCTTTCTCAATTCTACATTATCTTTCTGAAAATGTCCAGACTTTAATACGCTTCCTACACTGGAGGAGACCATGTGGAATGTAATTTTAAATCCCTGAATGCATCTATTCAAATTTTGAGACTTTTAAAGAAATTTTTATAATAAATGCGAGATGAGGAGAGAATTCAAGTTCTCAAAGACTGATGACAAAGTAGAAAGCACCATTTCTAGAATCACAATAGCCTGAGTTTGAATCTTGATTTACAGAATTTTCCACCTAAATGCCATGGATCAGATTTGACCTTTTTGTGGTTATTTATTTCCTATGAACACAAGGCTCTTATATCTCCACAGTGGGGCATTGTAAAAACTAAATAAATGAACAGACATAAAGTAAATCTGTGCTTCTCTGACTGAAGACACTAAAAAGTATTAGTTTCCTCTCACCTGTCCTTCATTTTCTTTTCTTCCTCCCCTAAACTAAGACTGTATTGTCAGATATAGCATGAAAGGGAGTTGACCATTCAAGTTTTGTTTATGCATCTGATACTATGTGCAAATCACAAAACTTGGCATTGTAAGTGATGAGTAAAATATAATCCCCTCTCTTTCATGTTTCACCATAAGAAATGACCACATTTTAGTCACCTTCATAGGAGCATCATACATTTTTGGCTGAGTTCACCACGGTAATTGTTAAAAGTGTGTTTCAATAAAACAACTGAATTTTATATGGTTCTAAATTCATCCATTTTCATTTTTTATCCTTTCACTTAACCACATATAGACACTCTTCTTGAGGCAAGGGAGTAATATAACCCAGATTTAAAAGTACATTTGTTCATATATTTTCTGTGTAACTCCAATAACTTAAACTCCGTAAATTGGAAGTGACTCAAACAGGGCTGTTATAAGGGTTAAATAAGGAAATGCCTTACAGTATATCTAGCACATTGCTTTGAAACATAATATGCATTTGATAAATTCTGACTTAATCTTTTGTGGTCATTATGTATTCTTGAGGGGCAAAAGAAAAGATTAGAATGGAGAACATAGGGTAAAAGAGAAAGAAAGGCTAAGATTGAAAGAACAGAGAAAAGCCGGGGGGTGAGAGGGAAGGGTAATGACAGAGTGATAATGGGTTTATTATGATTTTGGGCAACCATGGCCTTCCTTTTTTTAATATCTAGAATGATTTGCCAGTGAGTGTGTCCCAGGGGTAAGGTTAGGTTGCTAATTTATCTCTAGCTCATCAGAATACAAAACATCCTCAGGGCACGCCTTTGATTGTGAGGGTTGAGTGAGAACATGAATACTTATTTTATTTTATTTTATTTTTTTTAAATATTTATTTATTTATTTATACAAGCACTGGTACAGTCAGAAGCGCAGGAGGGTGAGAGAATTCACCAGAGCCAGAGCGGGGAGCAGAGCAGGCAGAAGGACCGAAGGACACTGCTGAGGGGAGCAGCGGGCCGCAGGAGAGGTCTGCGCGCCATGTGGGACCCTCCTCCGGTGGCCGGGGAGCAGCCAGGGATTGAACCGGCACCGCAGAGGCTGAGGGCAGCCTTGCAACCCAGCGCTCAACCGCTGTGCCACCGGGGAAGCCCATGAATACTTATTTTAGACAAGTTTTTGATTCAGCAGTTTGGGCTCTATTTGTTGAGCTAAAGTTAATACCACCCATTGGTGAAAAGAATTTGTTGATTTCTGGAATCCCTTCTGCTACTGGAAAAACTGAGCTAAAGAGAATAAAAGGTTACTTTCATGTTCATTATCATGGGTACAGAATTTCCAGACCACCACTCTTTCCCTATCTTCTCAACACACACACACACACACACACACACACCATCAGTAAAATGCATTGCCTGATATAAATATTTCCGTTTGCATTCACTACAGAGGTGAAAATATCCATAAATTTGCTTTAGGCCCTTAGATGCATCAGCACTCTTCAGAGATTAACATAGATTGATACTGAATTTACATTTTGGGGTGAACAAAATGGTGATGGTGATATCAAAGATAATATATATACCTGATACCTACTAGACTTTCAAAAATGCTTGTTTAATTAATAAGTGATCATAATAATAAGTCATCAAGTTCTTCTAATTTCTCTGCAGAGATAAATGAGACAAAACTGAGTTAATTTTTTTTTTCTGGATCTTCAGTGGTCCTTTTGATGTTAATTTAATTTTCAACATTCTCAACTCAGAATATGTTTTCTACTTTTTATTAACTTATCAAATAATTATTCAGCATCTATCACTCACTAGGCACACAATAGAGAGTGACTAATAAAGGGGAAAAAATCACTGCAGACAATAAAGAGAATGACAAAACAGGATAGTGAATAATTAGTTGGGATGCAATGACTGGATACATGTAAGTATCTAACTCAATTTTGAAAAAAATCAGAGGATACTTAGTGCAGTAAGTCCTATTTATATAGAAATCCGAAAAATAAATAAAAACTAAGGCAGTAAAGAGTAGTAAAAAAGACAGTATAAACATTGATTCAAAAATGTATGCTTGAACAATGAAACAGAAGAGCTAATTTAGAAATAACCTATTTTGTGTATTCATCTGGTTATGACCAAAGAGACATTGAAGTTGCATTGCATTCATCCACAGATGGAATTAAGATTTAGATTTGCAAAAATAGTACAAGGTGGGAATACAAGTGCTCAACATTATGGATATCCATAAAAGAAAAAATAAATCTTTGCCTCTACCTCATACCACACACAAAAACCAATTCCAAATGGATATTAAAACTGAACACTTAAGGTAAGCAATAAAATTTCTAGAATATTTAGAAATAAATTTATGATCATGTGGAGCCAAAAGTTCTTTAAACAGCACACAAAAGGATCACTCAGAAAGGACAACCTATCTAAATTACACTTCATTAAGTAACAACTTTTTTCCAACTCAAATATCAAAAAGTACCTTACAAGAGTGAAAAATTGCAATTTTCAGAGTTAGATAATTGAAGCACACATAACTAATAATATGCTGATATCCAGAATGTTTACAATAATTTTGTGAATCAATAATGGGCAAAATATTGAACAAAACCTTCAAAAAGAGGAAATCCTGAGTGATGAGCTTATGAAAAGTGCTCAGTCTCAGCAGTGTCATATAAACACAAATAAAATTGCATACACGTAGTAGAATAGCTCCAATGAAAATGAGTTTCAGTATCATTGCAGTAACTTCAGACTATCCATGCGGGAAGAAATGCCTGGTAGACATGGAAAGGGAACAATCAAAGAAGAGCATTTTTGACTCTCAGCGATTATTGCAAATGTGGAGCAAATGGGACCCTATACACTGCTGGTGGGAATACAAGTGCTCAACATTAAAGAACTACTCGGCAGAGTCTAGTGTCAGGGAATATATGTATTTTGGGAGAAACAGTATGTCCTGAATGAAGTCCATGCACTAATGTTTCATAGACCCCATCCCCACCTCCTTGCCACAATTCCCATCATAACATGGATCTGCCATAACCCTTGACTTCTTAAAGGGGGTTGCTGGGAATGAAGGGTGGAGGGAAGCAGCCACGTTTGATAGAAAAGGAAGGATATGTGAGCTGGAGGGGACTTGGTTTTGCCTGCCTGCCTGCAGCATGCACTCAGGGTCCCAGCTAACACATGGTTACAGGTAGGACTTAATGATCAATTAATCTCTATTTGTCTCTCTCTAACTCTCTTGCTTCCCCACCGCTCCCTTTCATTTCCCTTGTAAATAAACCTTTTATGAACCTTTCTATGTGTGCCTGCCCTTGGGTCTTATTCTAAATTGCTTTTTAAAGCAGGGGGTGAGGACTCACACCCAGGCCATTCCATTTCCCCTGAGGTTGCCCTGTAACAGTGTAACTTCATTTAATGTGTGCTGTGTAACCAAACACTGCAAAGTCCAGTGAAATAAAATTCTTCTTATCTTTATGCGGCTGGCTCCTTTCATTTAAGGGTGTTGTCATTTGACGGTTATACACTTTCGATGAAAACATTCTGGAGATGTTTCACAACAATGTGAATATACTTAATACTACCCAATTGTACACTTAAAAATGGTTAAGATGGTAAAGCTCATATGTATTTTACTACAATAAAAATATTTCTTATATTTCCTTCTATATATTTTATGGTTTCAGGTCTTATGTCTAGTTATTTTATAAAAGTGTTCTTGACACAGGTTTTGAAAAGAGTATTTTTAGATATAAATGAAATGTCTTATTTGAAATATCAGTAATTGATCTCAACAGGTTATTTTTTACTAGAAAATTAAGTGTCTGATAATTTGATAATTCCGACTATTCTTGCCCTAATAAGCCTTTCAAGATGAGATATAAAATAAATATCAAAGTTAAATTCTGAAAAAAAAAAATTTCTTGTTGTGTGTCTGCAGTTTGGCTTAGGATTGGCTGAGTTCACCTGAGTTAATGTGTTAGCTCTGCTTCAAGCTCACAGGGCCACTAGCCAGAAATTTTCTTCTTTACTTTTTGAATATGGATCCTTACCCTGGGGCATCTGCTCCTGTTATTAAAATCTAGGAACTTAAGCTCTTTTAGTGAAAGCATTCAGTAACCTTGGTTTTGGCCTTGGGCAGGGGATGAGGCAGGTGTTTCCAACGTCACAGCCTCCAGCTGCAAAAAGTAGCCTTCTCTCTGAGGAGACACAGATGACCCTGATCTGGTTCTCCTGCTGGTTTGGGCTCCAATTGTTCTAGACCAGGAACC